CTCAGTAGCGGTCCTTAATAACAAGTCATGCGGAGATGAGCATGCTTAATGTGCCGCCAAAGCCCCTGTGGGAATCGTGCATCCCCATCTCAGCCTTACTTTGGAGCTGTGAACTTTCAATGCAATGCAAGTGTCGTGAGCTGTTTCTGTAAAGCTCGATCTCACACGCATAAAGGCCTTGCTTAGTAGCTTCACTTTGGGTATACGTTTAGTCACGTTACCGTTTCATTGAGCTCTGCTTGTAGGGAGAACGGTTGCAACACCTCATGGCCGAGCAAACTCCTGAGCACGACCACGTGCCCTGGATAACAGTGGACCGACAGCACTCGGTGAGCTTCGTCTTCGCCCCACTTACTGCTGTTTGCAATTACAGCGAAGGTTCAGATAATCAATTCCTCAAGAGCGCTGGCGTTTGTAACGTCGAACATACATATGCGGGAAATTTTCGTCTACGTAGTGGCGTGTAGAGCCATTTTCCCTTGTTTGCCTTTTCTGGTTGCGGTGCAACTGTGGCCCCAGGCAGTGGGAGAGAAGGACCTCCGCTGCGCCATATGCACATCCTCAGCTGGCAAGGAGGAGAGCTTGAAAGCTTACTGTGCGGGGAAAGAGGGCTGCGACAGACAGCGGGAACAGGAGTCACTGCAACAGCAACAAGTGCAGGGGCAACAGATGACAGAGGAAGTACAGCAGAGGGGAGGAGGGAGTTTGGTGGTGACTGACATGTACCGGATTTTCTCTCAAGATGAAGTTTAGTGGAAGCCTTTTGCATGAAAGGCATATATTGTTATGGCTTGGAAATGAATGCTTGCAGTAAACTAATGAAGATTTAGCTGTACGCACAACAGTCGTACATACCCCCCGTGCCGAACCTCAGGCCTGCTGCCGGGTGTGAACGGCGCATATCTCGGTCATTTCTGACTGTCCATGCCTCAGAGGAATACAGGGGAGGGAATGGATTGTGTAAGCCTTCAGCCGCACTTCAGTCAGAGATGGTCCTTATCTGTTACTTTGTGCCAGTTCTATTGGTTTCTTTTGTATCTCGCATGTGAGCCCCTCCGAGCAACTTGCTGCTAAATCGTTGCCTGTGGCTCCACCAGCCCGTAGCAATAGCAGCGGCGGGTGTTTGGCTGCTCGTGCCGCTGCATCACGACTGAGCAGTTGTGCTACGGCGTTGCCTTATGGTTTTTCGCAACCTGGTTTTTTTTACGAGGGCGTCCCCCTGCCCAGGCGCTGAAGGTCCGCCTACAGGAAACTATTTGAGTTTCTGGGGGCAAAGCCTGTAGCGCTGCTGCTGGAGCATTGAAGCTGCGGGAGTGCACAGTTGACTACTCTTCTGCCACCAGCCCTTGGCCATTCACGGCCCGGTGGAATCCTGGTCTACGTGCATTCCACAAGAAGTGTTGAGTCTCTTCCTATCCCATTTATTCCCGGTGTGCAGCTAGTTCATTTTTGTTTGGTTACCTGTCTGGAAGTGTACGCGCGGCTGTGGCGCTTGGCCTGCCGCACTCCTTTCCTTGTCTGCAAGCCCAAGACAGGCGCAGATGAGAAGTGACGCATCCGCTGCAGCGTTTTTCCATTAGCGTGAGTTGCTCAGTAGTGACAGCCGACGCTGCAACAGCTGCCGAAATTGCGGAAAAGAAGCGAATTCAGTTGCCTCCGCACCTGCATCTCCAATAGCGAGCAGGGCACCAACAGCATCAGCTCCTGTTTGTGGAAGTGGAACGTAGGGGACCTGTTTTCGTGTCGGTTTTACGTTGTGCGTTCGTTTACTTCTTCAACTTTGCTAGAGTTCGGGGGGACGAGAGCAGCGCGTGGAACTTTGGCTACTCTCGTTTTGCTGCTCACACTTTAGGCCTTTTCATTTGCCGCTTCACCTGCGCCACATGTGTCAAGAGGTCTTGCTGGACATGTTGGTGCAGTTGAGTTGTAGGTGGGCGGAACGTCTGGGGTTGCGCTCCTTAGGGAGTCGGCGAGCCGATGGGACTTTTGGTGTTAATACTGCCAGTGCAGTTGCTTCGGAAGTTGGTCAGGACGCGCTTTCTGTGACGGAGAAGCTACACTGCACTGCCATATGAGGCCCTTAATACCACGATCTTTGTACGGAACATTGCGAAAAATCGTAGGCAACTAGGGCCGAGTCACAGGCACCCTGGGAAGAGAAAGCAGAGGAGCTCAGTGCTTAGCCTCCGCCATGGGCATTCGTGCTAGGATATCTTGCCCTCAAGAGGGACTGAATTCACATTTGGTGCACACAATGAGTACTGATGGCGCTCCGTTCGACACACATAGTAGGTGCGACTGCTTGGCGGGATCTGCTGAATCTGACTGGACAGGCAGTCGATACCCAGCGCTGTGGGGAACCATCAAAGCGCCTGTACCTGGAGCTAGTTTGGCCACATAAACGGTTACGCCACGGACCAATTTATCTGAAACGTTCCCTGGACAGCGTCAGCTTATGAATTAAACCTATTTTGAGCCTCTCAAGGCGTCTTTAACTGTGCATCGCTGCCTCTAGCTTTGTGGCCGCTGGGTGAATGGAACCCCAGCCCCTCAAGGCTGTTCGTTTATGACGGCGCTTTTCTAGCCATTGGAGTGTATACGAGATACTCTCAAGTCACGCTGCGCAAGATTTAGCTGGTAACCTCACAACTAGTCTGAAACAAAAACAGACCACAACACCCTTCAGCACTAGAGACCGTACTGGGGGGAGCTGGGGAGGCCAAGTTCTGAAGTGGACAACAATAGCGTCAAATCTGTTTTGGCATTTAAAGAAACAAAACAGATTTTTAGTGGCGCCTGTGGTGCTAGGGTAACACCGTACAACGATCTATGCACAAGGATGCTCGGAGCGGATGATTCGTCCGGAAGAGTAAAGAGAAGCTAGTCAAATCTCGCTAGTACATCCCGTATATTCGGGATGTTTGGGATACTGAACAACGCATGGAACTGTGCCAACATCAGCGAGCGTGCTACAAGCGGTTTCGAGGCTTCACCTTGTCCTTGGGCATCACTACCAGCCGACTTAAACGCTTTAGGCACCTATTTGTGCAGGTTCTGGACGCCATTTATGTGTCTCTCCCTGAAGCACTACACAGAGTGGCTTCAATCAACCTTACCTCACTGGGAAGACTCTCAGAATACCACATGAAGTCTTATCTGCTCCCTGTTAAGCGCTACTTGAGCCAATGTATGTGAGATATTGCCCGGTTACAGTAGGCTTAACAACGACTTACCAACAACTTCCATTTTCACCCAGTCTGAGGGCTTGTTCACTGTTACAGTTCTGGCTGTCATTGCGTTTAACATTGTTGTAGGGCCAAGTGAGGGGCGCTTGAGCCTTGCAAGGCTTTAGTGACTCTATTAGTGCTTGTCTGGTTACTATACTGTCCTATAAACACCCTCAAGTCATACAGTAGATCTGTCCATTAGATACTCTAGCCATACACTACGTGTAGCGTTGTAGTGCGCCTACATTCGCACCACGTCATGATGTCTCCTGGGCACTTGAAGCTCTATGCTGCTCCGCACGGCCCAGGGGCTCATACTGTCTGAGATGACTAACAGTGACCTGAGTTATTTCCAGTATGGTTTGTAGTAGCACGGTGTCGCCATTAATGGTGTGCTTTCTGGTGATTTTGCGGCTCCCCTTCACAACAGCCTTCAAATCGTCCGAATAATCTAAAATGGCTATCTTAATGACGCAACAAGCGTTACTGGAGTAGACGACGGTAATTCTACTGCAGCACTTACTGATGCTTCTGTAAGTAGCGCCACCGCTGGGGAGATCGTTCCTTAGGTGTTGCTCTACGTATTGCGCTTGCTGGTAAGTAGTCAGTGGCTGAAACAGTCCTCTTCCTACGGCGCTTAAAGCAGCCTGTACTGAACTTAGTATGCCAGAGAGCTGAAATACGAATAAAACCTAGAAGGCCCTTGCAGATGCGCTTACAAACATATCAAACCTAACAGGTGAGCGAGGTTCAGGGAGCGTGAACTGCATCGGGTTTCGGTGCATATTTCGTGAAACCCCAGCAAATATATCTTCTTATCCTCCTCTGTGCGTTGAATTACTTGTGCCCGCCCACAGAAACCGCATAAACAACGCAGTCAAGACAGGCTGCTCGTCTTGAGATTGCTGCAGCTGCTGTTGTTGCCGCCTCTGTTTACACTCAAAGCACACTCTCTTCCGTCCCATCTCCACCTTCTTACCAGCAGCAACAAGAACTGAGTAAAACAAACGAGGCAGCAAGCGATGCCTTTAGAGAAGCTGGAGCGTGGTACTCGCCAGCTGCAACTGCAGGTACGGCTGCTGTTGCTGCAACAGCCGCAGCAGTCGTGCAATCGCGCATCGCTGCTTTGTTTTCTTTCCTGCTGTTGGTGCTCCTTTGGCACAACAGCACCACTTTTGAATGGGTAGCACTCGCATCTTAAGTGTACTTACACTTCGTTGACAGTAGCAGCTTCCTCAGAAGACGCTGCTGCTGCTGCTGCTGCATAGCCGCCTCGCAGCAGCAACCGTGCTGTTGGCAGCCACTGCAGCTGCTCAGCGTAGACCATTTATTTCAAAGGCCTCTGTTTCACTAGAGACCTCGTTGCAGTCGCAGAAACAGCAGCAGCTGCTGCCGCTGCTGCTGTAGGCTCTACCCCTGGGGGGAACAGTCAACGTGGCAACAAAACCAGAGTAGGCAGCTGCTGCAGTAGCAGCTGCTACATCCTCAGCAGCTGCAGTAGGCTCTGCAGTGTCATCTGAGTCTGCGCCAAGCAGGAAAGCAACTCTGCAGCAGCAGGAGCAGCATCAGCGGAGCTGCAGTCCGCTTGGCTGCTCCTTGTGGGGACAACTGCAGCAACTGCAGGAGCAGCAGCACCGATCCTATCATCAAGTGCAGCAGTGTCAGCAACAGCGTGGGGGATTGATTGCCTATTGAGCTTGCCTGGCTGTCTACTCGCTCGCTGCAGCAGCAGCAGCGGCAGCTGCGGCAGCAGCTGCAGTGGCAGCAACGAAAATGCTGTCGCATGGTCAGGATGGCGATGAAAGGCAGTGGCAGCAAGTGCTGCAGCTGCTTTCCCACCCCAGCGAAGCCCAGCAGGTACGTTCTGTTCATTTGAAGCTGCAACAGCAATTTCAAGAGCGGCAGAAGCAGCAGCAGAAGCCGTAAGAATACACGCGTCAGCGGCGTTCCAGTGCACTCCCGTGTCTTCTCTGCGCATGTGCAACATGGACCGAAGGTGCATTGCGTCTAGAAGTTGCACCAGAAGTACGAGCCACGGCAGTCAGGCTGTGCCTGTGTGCGTTTCAGTTGGCTTGCTTGACCGAGCTGCAGCAGTGGCTGTCCTTCGCGACTGATGAGCACTTGGGGACCTTCCCGCTGCAGCGGGTTTTGCATGCTCTGTTCCAGCTGCTGCAAGGCAGAGCACCAGATGCTGCAGCTGCTGCTGCGGGCTGTGGCCAAACAGGCACTTTAGAAGGGTCTTCACAGATGGATCCCGACGTTGCCAATCCAGCAGCAACGGCATCTCAAGAGGCTCTTGATGAGCAGCTAGCGAGAGAGCTGTCTGGTGGGACGGATGAGCAAGTGAGCGAGCTGGCGTCGCCTTGTGTTTGTGTGTAGCCGTGTTCTTCCATCTTTTTTTTTGGTGTATATGTGTTCGTTTGTCCTTGCATCTCGTATCTGGTCAGTGCTCCTACTGTACACTTTCTTCATGGGTGTTTTTCTTCGTTCTGCGTGGACATTATGGCACTGCGTCTGATTACTTGACTTCGTGTGCTTCTGCCGCTGCTTTGTTGCAGTTGTCTGTGCTATGCGGACTACCGCTTTGCGTCTTTTCCTTGACATTCCTTGTTCATCGGTAGTCAGTTCGCTTCAAGTATATATGTAATAATAAATGCAGCCCTCTGGGACTGCTAAGACTCGCTCACAAGGGGCAGTTACTGTAGAAAGGTGCTCGCTGCAACAGGGGCATTAGGACTACGTCCGTGCTGCATGCGCAGGGATTGGGGACGCAGAGGGACCTGCTGATCGGTTCTTGCGTTTACTTACTACTCGATGTTCTCCCTGTTCAGACGGCTGCTATCTTGGCAAGAACGCGTGAGGCGATGCTGCAACGAGACTGTATTTTCGTGCCCCGTTTCTGATGCTCCAGTTTTCTGTGCTCGCCTCGCTGTTGTTCCCCATATATTAGTTCAATTGGTCTCCGTTTCTCTACCTCTGAGGTTCCTTGTTTTGTTCCCCCGTTTGCACCGGTGCGCTTTTTGCAGTATTCGTGTCCGTTCAATGCGACGCTTTTTATTTTGTGGTCCGCCATTGCTGGTTGTTCCTAGGGTCAATTTTTTCTGTTGCCGTATGACATTGCCTGTGTTTTTCGCCTGACGTTCTTAGAGACCTGTTTCCTTGGCATTTTGCGTACCGTTCTACATGCTTCTGACATACTGTCCAGTCTGCAGCTGTGTAGCCTCCGCCGTCCAGCTCTGCTTTCTCGTCAACTATCTTGATTCTTCTGTTTCGTTGCAATATGCAAAGCACGACGTTATATCTGCTGCGGCAAGATCCCTTCGATACATCAGCCGGCATTGTGGTGCGCGGACGACAATAAGAGATTGTGCCGCTTGCTTACCTGACTTTTGAACTTTATTGTATGCTCAGCTGACTACATGGAAGCGCTGAAACACCAGCTGTCACATCTTCAGTATATTGACACAGGCGAGAGATTTTTGTTGATAATCTGTCGGGTTGTGGAGGAGCAACCTCTGTTGGCCCTTCTTTCCGGCGCTGCTGCCGCTATGCTGCCAATCCTTGACTTTTTTCAGCTGGATATACAGCGCAAGGCCGTACGGGCGGCGGCGAAGGCGTTGGCTGCTGCTGCGGCAGCAACGGAAAAAGCTGTCGCTGCGGCAGCCGCAGAGACTGCAGCAAGACGACATAACCTCACTTGTTTGCCACAGGAGCAGCGAGGAGCGACCGAATTCGCTCCGTCCACTGGTACATCTGGGCGAAAGGAGGGCAGTGACGCCGGCGTAGGAGCTGGAGCTAGGAGCAGCAGCAGCCGCAGCAAGTTGGTGGCTTTGCGAGAACACCTGCGACAGCAGCTGCAGCTGGAGAAGCAGCAGCAGCGGGAGCTTTTGGAGCAGCTCGACGAGTACCGCAGTCTCATAAATCCAACGCTTCCCTTTTTCTCCTCCCTCCTTACCTACAAGGATGAGGCCCTGTTGCAGGTCTGTCTAGGCTACTGTTGCTGCTGCGTGGCTGCTCGCTGTGTTTTCTCTGCTGCTACTTCGGTTGGTTGCTGGAGCACGTTGACCAGCGCTTCTCGTCTCATTTTGCCTGCTGCAGGGAGCATGCCAGAGCTGGCGCTCAACGCTAAGTATTTTTGTCTGTGTCAACACTGCAGCAGCAGCATCTGCTGCTGCAGTTGCTGGCCTAGAATTAGCTGCTGTACGAGGTGAGTTGCGCGCGCTGCCGCTGTTGTGGTGGAGGGTGGTGACCTCGCTGCTGCTGCTCGTGGATTTGGCTGTACATGCTGTGACAATCATGTCTTCTTAGCGGCAGATGCGTGTTGCTGCGCAGCGGCAGCGACAGCAGGTGGGGAGGACAGCGGGAAACCGCATTCGTCGCAGCAGCAGCAGGAAGGTCAGCAGCAACAGGAGGATGCTGAGTGGCTTTCAGTCTGTCAGAAAGCCTACGCAGATCATATGGAGCTACTGTCTTCCGAATTGGCTGCATTTGGCACAGAAGCAGCAGTTGCTCTGCAGCAGCTGGTCGCCCGTACAGTTGCTGAAAGCAGCAGTGGCGCCCTTGCGTGGCAACAGCAACTGATGCTTCAGGACGCGCTTTACGTGCTGTCTGTGTTCGCCGCTTACTCCGACACAATCGCAGCAGAGTTGCTGCGTCAGCAAAAGCAAACTGCGAACTTTCAAGAGGCAATTGCTAAACTCGTCAGCCTCCAACCCTACGCCATCACCGCTCCGCGCTTTTTAAGTGCTATTAAATAAGTGTCCTAATGCGGATGATCCAGTTAATCTTGCAGCTGTCGCTGAAGGAAACAGGGCCAGGGGCCTACGGCTCATATATCAGGCTTTAAAGAGATTATGTAATGTACTTGAAATGCAGGTGAGGAAGCAGGAAATGCTGCTGCTGGAGGGTGTTGCAGCGTATGGGGTATCTCTGCTCCCAGCTGTGCATTTCCAGCTGCCTCTGTGGCAGGAAGTGCTGCAGCGGCAACAAACTGAGGCGGCTGGAGCAGAAGCAGCAGCAGCAGCGGATGTACTAACAGTTGATGCAAAACGCGTTTCTGTCTTTGCAGAGTCACCAGAGCTTCTTGGTCGGGCGCTTGAGTAAGCCAGTGCTCTGGATAGAGGGTTAGACATCTCTAGTGGAAGCTTATGGGGCACTTGCACTTGATGCGTGAGGCTATTCGCACTGACGGGGCCATGGGAGAACACAACAAATCAGCAGCAGAGAACAGGAACCGTAGCTGAAGGGAAGTGTGGTTTGTGGACTGCTCAGGACTTTTGCATCCCCGATGCTGCCTCTACTGGAGTCATCTGTGACACGAGATCTCTGCCGCTTCGTGCTACAACTGCTACTAGCTGCGGCATACACTGCGGCGAAAGCCAGCAGCAACCAGCAACTGCTGCAGCAGCAGTTGCTGGATCACCTTGACTGCAAAACTCTTGGAGAAATATGCGCGCATGCGCTTCACAGGGGGCTGCCAGGTGCAGTGGTATGCTGCTTGTAGTGCAGCTCTTAGTACTGCTATCACTTTGTTGCTGCTTAGTTCGCTGTTACTGTCTCGCCAGTGGCAACCGGTATTCCAGCTGCTGCTTTCAAAGCGCTTCGGCATTTCGTGGTCTTTGTTCTCTGTGCGCTTCAGAAGTTCGCGGTTATGAGTCTCATTCTGCAGCTGCTGCTGCAGCGCGGCGCTGCTGCTGCAGCAGCGCTTCAGGTAGCAGGCGTGCGGGATCGTGTAGAGGCAGATTTTGATAGCAGCACTATCACGAGAAGGATCAACAGCCGCGGTGGCTTCAGCGATGAACGGCACCAAAAGCAGAACTCTGTAGAACCTGCGGCGGCAACTTTCCGCTTTGCAACCAGGGCGGGTGCAGCTGCTGCTGCTGCAGCTGCAGGTGAACCTATTGCATGTGTGGATCTGGCTGCTTTGCTGAGGCATATCCGCAAAGCGTGTGTCTTGATGTTTGAGCTACACCAGCAGAATTTGCAGCTACAGCAGTCTGCCGGAGCTGCGCCTCCGTGTAGCGCGCAGCTGCGGCTGCAGCACGTAGCTCTGTCACTGTTGAGCCACGGGTCGCGGCTCGCTTCTGTGGGACAAGAACAACAGGATCAACAAGAGCAGTGGCTGGCTCTGGTGGAACTGAGAAAGCTTTTGGAGGCCCCACAAAGTGTTTCTGCATGCGAGCTTATCAATTCGCGCATTGCGGAGGCACTCTGCTGTTACTTACTGGGCATCGCCAGCAGCAGCAGTACCGGGAGCAGCTGCTGCTGTAAAGGTACCTGCCACAGTGACAGCTGCAGCAGGCAGCAGGAGCTAAAGCAACGGGGACTACTGTTCATGCGTGCCTTTCTTTTCCCCCTCACCGAGAACCCTCCTCCGCTGCAGCAACGGAAGCTGCTGAACGCAGGAGCCTGTTTAGACGGAGTTGACTGGTCTGCTGCGTCCCCAAATTTGCTGATACGGCTGGCGACACTAGCCGCAAAGTGCTTGAGCAGAGTGGAGCAGTTCCCTGTGCTGCAGCAGCAGCTGCCTGCCGTTGCTGCAGCTGCAAGAGACGTGCTGCCCCCGCACTTGCGAGCCCCGAGGCCACTGTCAGGAGCAACGCCAAATTCAGCAGCTGTATCGACGGGAAGACAGTCAGGTTATCGCACAGCGGGGCTGCAACAGCGCCAGCGACCGGGGCCCAGGGGTCTCCGAATGTTCCATCAATTGCAACAACAGCAATTGCCTCAGCACCCAGGAGAGTTCATGCGGCAACAGTTGCTGCAGCAGCATCTGCTGCAGCAGCCCGACCCCCTCTTAGTTATGCAAGACTTGCAAAGAGACGTCGTCCTCGTAGCAAGAGATCTCAGCAGCGAGCAAGCGCCTGGTGTTGCCTTTTCTCCGCGTGCAGCAGAGGCGCCCAAAACACCAGATTTGTCAGCAGTATCAACCCCTGCAACACCAACGGTGGAGGCAAGGGAAACAGAATCAGGGGCAAGTCAAGGAAAAACGACAAATGCAGAGCCACAGACACCGGGGAGGCCTTCGAGGAGGCGCTTTCGCAGTCGTACGGTGGGAGTCTGTCGGTCGCCTGCCCAGGCTATTGCTGATGCCGCGCAAGGCACAGCAGCAACACCAGCAGTAGCAGCAACACAGGATAGGTTTGCGGGATCTGTAACCTCAACAAGAAAGGAAGGCAGCACATCTTCAACTCCACAGCGGGCCGGTCGAAACACACGGTCAAAGGCAGCTGGGACAGCGGCTCCGGGAGCAAAAGCCAGCATAGCCAGCAGCAACATTAACAGCAGCAACAGCAACAGTATGCGCAACAGGAGCAGTGGCAGCAACGAGAGCGGTAACAGCAACACTAACCGTGGCAGCAACAGCAGCGCCACAGGCGCGAACAACAGTGGTTGCTTGATCAAGAGACGCCGAGGGCAGCCTGGGAGCAGTGGGAGCAGCAACAGCAACGCGCCTCCCCCTTCTACGGCGTCCGGGCCTGAAGCAGCAGCAAGAGACAGCAGCAACGGGGAGAGGGCTCGCGGCGGGCGAGGGACAGTTCCATCGGGAGCCGGCTCAGACAGCATTGCGACGACGTCACAGCGGTCGCTACAACGGAGTAGCTATAGCAGCAACAGCAGCGGTAGTGGTGCTGGGCTCACGGCGATGCAGCAGCTTCAGCAATTGGTACTGCAGCATCAAAGAGGCAATATTTTGGGTGACCTGCTGTCGTGGGGCCACAGATACTCCGGCAGCGCCAGCAACAGCAGCAACAACGCGTTGGTTGTTGACTGCAGGGCTCCGCTGTCACGCGTGGAGTCTGAAATAAGGCGGACACTGCAGATGAGACAGACTGCTGAGCAGACACGGCAGCAACAAATGCAACGGCAAGCGCGGCAGCAGCACCAGAGTCGTGATGTGGAAGAGGAGCTGCAAACAGAGCAAGGCTTGCACCAGCAGGAGCAAGATGAAACCAGCAGTAGTAGTTCGACGAGAGGGGGTCGTCGAGGCCAGCGGGCATCGGGGTCGTGCCAGAGAGGAGCAGAGAATGAGGTTGCAGTGGAGCAGCAGGTACAACAGCGACCGCAGCAGCGACAGCAGGTACGGCACCAGCAACGACAACTGCGGCAGCGGCGTCAAGAGGAGGAAGACGACGCTTCAGCGAGCAGTGATTCGATGGATGTGGACAGTCACCTCAAAGCAGGTGAGAAGGCTTCTGCTGCAGCAAGTGTAGCTTCCGCTTTTGCTTTTGCTGCCAATGCTGTAGCATATGCGGCTGCTCGATTTCGTGTGCTTCTTGGACCTTTTAGGCAGGCGCGCAAGAGATGACGAACAAGGTTATGGAGGTGGCATCAGCGAAGAAGATATTCCCAGTAGTAGTAGCAGCAGCAGCCATAGCAGCAGCAGTAGTGATAGTGAAAGCGCGGTGATTTTTGAAAGGGATGAATCGGGAGAGGGCAGTAGCCACAGCAGCAGCTGCAATAGCAGCACCAGTAGTGGGACAAGCGAAGACGAGGGTGTCACGGGACCTAACGTAGAAGGGCGTGAGGATTCACTGCGTTGCAGTGCTGCAGAGACGCCCGATACTCCGTCCGACCCAGCACCAACAGCAGAAGCACTGGACCGTGCCGCACCAAGGCTACAGTGTGGTGGCGCGCAGCAGCAGCAGCAAGATGCAGCTGCAGTCGCCAGTGCGACTGCCTCTGCTGCACCGAGCAGCATTAGCAGCAGCAACAAGCCTACTGCAGCCAGTGTGGGTGCTATTCAGCTGTACGTACACTCCGTACCCGTCCCGCCCCAGATGCCTGTAATAGAGGCGCTCAATTTGTACGGAGGTTGTGTTGCACTGCCTAGGCGCAGCAGCGGCAGTATCTTCCGTGATAGCAGTAGTAGCGGCAATGGCTGGCTGTCTGCCTCAAGCAGCGTGGCGCATCGTCGACTTCAACAGATGCTGCAAGGAGGCAGCAGCACTTTTGAGATGCTGCTTTCCACAGCCTTGTTGGCTGATCTCCTCCCCAACAGCCGCGGAAGCGCTGCCTTGTCGCGGCAGCGTGGCGAGGTGGAGGCACTGTCAGGCACTCCGAATACGAGAAGACCCATAACTGTAGCTGCTACTACTGAGACAACAGCAGCCACAGCCGATGGGGACCCTCGCACCGCCATATCTGCTCCTCCCACTTGCACCCAGGGTAGCAGCATTGGTGGGGAGACGCTTCAGGTAGATGTTAGTGGCAGATTCTGCATCATGATTGACGAGACCGCAGAATCAGCCCCAGCAGCAGCAGTGGCAGCAGAAGCAACACCGTCGCGCAATTCTCTTTGGGACAAGGCCCACACAGTCGACTACTTGGTGCTTCCGGCAACACCCAAGGCTCGAAACAGCAGCGGTAGCAGCAGCAGTCCAAATGAACTGTGCGCAGAGGGCCTCAAGCTTGGTCGGGGCACACCCCTTGTCACCTCCGTCGTCCATCCGGCATTAGGTGCAGAGCGTCTGTTGCAGCAGCTGCAAGAAGAGCAACAGCAGCAGCAGGAGGATCCCCAGGTCCCCTGCTTGAAGTCGAAAGAGCATCCACGCAATCCCCAGGAGCAGCAACATTTGGAGGACCTGGCAGGATGGTGTGTCTCTCGAACCCAGAAGGAGACGACTGCAGCTGCAGCATACTTACGTGGTGATTGCAACAGCTGGCACCGTCTCGATTTGTTGCTGCATGCGGCATCAGATGAGGCGGCTCCACTGTTCTATGGCATCCCTTCCGCCGGGGTTTCCGTCACGCGACACGGCAGCAGCACTGGCAGAGACAAACCCGGCCAAGCGTCAGCAGCAACAGTAGCAAGAACAGAGCCGGCGATTCCTAGGCCGACGGCTGCACCTGCTGCATATGAAGGAAACGTTTTTCTTCCCAGCGTGTTTGACGAGGCGGCTGCAGCGGCGGCGCCTTTCGTTGTTTTGTTGCTGTATTTGCATAATCTCCTGCAGCAGTTGCCGCAGCTGCACATGTATGCTTCTGTAGCCAGGAGCATTACTCTGAGTAACAATGACGACCCAGCACCATTGGCATCGGCAGCGACAAAATTCGGAGCCGCTGCATCAGCGCGCGCTCTGCGGGAGCATCCTCTGGGTTTATGTAGCAGCAACGGCAACGGCGACTCAGGAGCGGCTGCGGCAGCTGAAATATCTTGCTGGAGCAGCGTTGCAGCGAAGGCGGGGGCAGTTTTGGCAGACCCTGTTGCAGCTGTGACTAGCTGCAGCAGAACTCCTTACTGGCTAAGGAGACTGGTCTTTGCGTGCCCCTTCTTGTTTCCGCTCCAACTGAGGCTGCTGTTGTTGTTGCAGCAGCATCTAGGGGCCATGCGGGGCCAGTTCATCTACAAAGTTCGGCTAAAGGAAGCGGCAGAGCTGCTGCTCGGCCAGCGACAGGGTAGCAGCAGCAGCAGCAGCAGCGTGCAGCCGTTGCTTAATCTACCCACTGCCGGCATTAGCAGTAGCAAAGCTCTGCTACTGCAGCGATTGCGGCCTGTGCTGCAGCTGCAAGGAGCAGCATCTGGAGGCAGTAGTAACAGACGGGAGCAAGAAATACTGGCAGATTTGGAAGGAGTAGGTGAACAGCTGCATCAGAACTAAAGGCAGGAGGAGTGCCAGCAATGGAAGCAGCAGCTGAGTAGTAAACACAACAGCTGCAGCCTCCTTGTTTGTGCTTGCATTTAGGGAGCATCTCTTCCTCGGACAAAGGTTAAGATGCCACGCGCGCACTTGGTGGAGAGTGCTGCGAAGGTTAGCACAAGACTCTAGCTCTAGTTCCATGCTGTGCCTTGATTGTACCTGAATACTTGTTCTCGCGTTTGGTTGTAAATGGGGATGCTAGTCCTGCATTTCGAGGGATCAGTGGGACGGATCTTTCGCAGCTTCAGTAGCAACAGCACAGTGTTGGCTAATGCTGTTACTTTTGCCGCAGGTGATGGACCATTTGCTGGCGAGCAGCCGCAGTAGTGAAGAGCAGCCTGTGCTAGAGGTGGAGTTCGCCGGAGAAGAGGGAGTGGGCCAAGGCCCAACGAATGAATTTTATGCCGAGGTGGATATCCAGCACTCGAGATATAGATGAAGGACCTAGTTTTAATAGCTAAAGGTTTTGAATTGGGGGACGGAAAGTTTGGTCATGCGATGACACTTAAGTACGGTGCCTTACTCCCCACCTCCGCAGTATTACTTGCAAGGCCCTCTTGCTGACTGAATTGCTGCTGCTGCTGCAGGTGTTGGAGGCGCTGCTGACTTGGAAGGAACCTGAGCTGTTCTTGAACTGCAGCAGCGGTGGGGGGCTGTTTCCTCGTGCGTATTTGACAGATTTGTGTCTCATCCCGTTGGACATGGTGCGGCGTCCAAGAGTGTCTCCTCTAGTGCAGCAACAACAGCCGCAGAGGATGCGAAGCAGGGCTCCAACAAGAAGGACGGATAGAGGTGTTCCTTCTGAAGGGGCAGAGGATATGGAAGAAGATGCGGGGCCGTTCAGCAACACTTGCAACGCCAGCAGCAATGCAAGCACGATTGGTTTTTCCCAACAGAAACCCTCCTGTACAGCAGCAGCACCGTCCCCAAGAGCAGTCTCTGCAAGTGGAGGAGGCACACTGGAGCTCCAGCTATTTAGTCACTTCCGCCTGTTGGGCCAGTTGGCTGCAAAGGCCCTGCTAGACGGTCGCAGCAGCACAACTGACATTGGGCTGCATACGCTTTTTTGGGAGGCAGTTGCTCGCCCTCGGCTGCACCAGGAGCGGCTCAGGCCCTGCAGCTGCATGAGTCCTGCAGCAGCGGCAGCAGACGTGGAAGCTGGAACCGCGACAGCGAGGCTACGGTTCGGTATTTGCTACTGTGGTGGGACCGCTGCTGCTGTTGCTGCTGTTGCTGCAATTGACGAAGCTCTGGGGAGGTCTCTACAGCAGATGCTCCAGCATCGCGCAGATGGACATGAGGTCAAGGATATGGCGTGCTCGTTTGTGATTCCACGTAGGTGGCGATGCAGTGGCACTATGGGCATGCGGTAATACGTAGCAGTGTGTGTGGGGCTTGATACTGGATTGTGTGGCTTTGCTGTCATGTGAGTTGGCTACGAGTAAAGTGCCAGTAAGCGTTGCTGCTGCAGGTCCTGCAGGAATTGCTGGTTTAGTTGCTGTTGTAGTTGTTACAGCTGCTTTTGGTGCCTCAGAAGATGGTGGGGGGCCCCTTGTTGAAGGCGGTGAAAACATATTTGTGTCAAACGCTTCTTTGGACTTTTTCATCCAGCGTTTGGCTTTCGTGCTTCTTTGTGAAGGCATCTTCCTGCAGGTACGCCGTGCGGCGTGCATGCAATTGTTTGCTTTTTTATTCAAGTTTCAACTGGGCAGACGGAGTACGCATATGAAGGAAGCAATGGCTTATTTATCCATAATATGTTACCAGGGTTACGGCTGTAGGCGTCTGCCTTTTTTCCACTGTCTGCTTAGGCGTCTGCGTTTCGTCTGGGATTTGGTTCTTTCTGCCCGCTCTTCGCACTTTCGCCGTTGTTGCCGATGGAGGTTTCTTCCGTTCTGTTCGGAGACAGAGAGAGGACGAGACAGGATAGGTTCTGGACGCTGTCCCACCTTAGGGCACATGTTGCTCCGGACCATGGGTGAGTGCTGAAAAGTTATCGATGCAAAGGTGGTGGATGCAGAAACATGCATGGAGGGGTGTCACTGGGTGAGAAACTGAGAGTGACAGGCAGAGGGCAGCTGGAGGGAACGATGAGAGAAAGAAAGGCAACAGACAGACAGAGATGAGGGTAGACGGGCACGCGGCAGGCTATACAGAAGGAAAACTTGGGAAGTTACGCAAACAGGTCGAGGAGAGTAGACAGTGAACATGAAGGTTCTGTGCACCGCAGGTAGCAGGGCAAGGATTATATGTAGCACCCAAAGATAGCTTGCAATTCAAACTGAGGCCCATACCGTGCAAAGTGGCAAGCCAGACTTCTTTCCATGCTCAGTTATTTTTGTTGCGTTTGCCCGCAAGATTTACGACATCGAGCGCTGTGTATGGGCACTTCTTGGAGGTTTTGGTGGACTTCAACCCTTCACAGCGTGCGGCGTTCCTCAAGTTTGTCACGGGATCAACAATTCTGCCAGCAGGTGGATTCGCTGGGTTTCGGTGAGGCAACTGTTCTCAGCTGGCTTAACCACTGGCATTCTTTCTAGCTGTATGGGCAGTTAGATAGCTGACTACGTTCCTGCGCTGCAAGCAAACGCTCTATTGCTGCTGTTTCTCAGTCACATTTGCCTCTCGCGTGCTGTCTCTTCAAAGTGCCTGCGTTTCAGCTGGTTGGAAAACTAGAAAGATTGCTTGATGGATTCGTTGGCAGTAATGCAACGTGCACAAGTCTTCAGGAAAACACCCGAAGGAACAGTCCTGCATGGTTCTACTTTTGGTTACTCTTTCTGTTAATTCTGCCGCAGTCCGTTGATGAAGGTCGTCAGAAAGACTCCGGCGTCTGGCGGTGGGGCCATCGATTGCCTTTTGCCGAGTGTGATGACCTGCAGCAATTACATAAAATTGCCCAACTACTCTTCTAAGCAAATCCTTAAAGAGCGGCTTCTCCTTGCCCTAGAGGAGGGACAAGGTGCCTTCACATTGTCGTAACGATGTCCCTGTCGAGCGCACTCGCCGGCTAGCCAGCCCTTTGGATTGGCAAATGGGCGTAAGGCCCGAAAGAACTCCAGAATTTTGACATAGCTATTTCCCGCGCTTTTAAGTAGAAGATAGTGGGTACGATTTTTCTTTGTATGCTTGCAACACTGAACAAAGTAGCTCTGGACAGAGCTCCGAAATTTGATGTTTGTTCCTTGAGGCGAATGGCCAGGTACCGCAGCTTCTGCGGTTGCTTCTGCAACGGTTGCTGCAGGTTGCTTTGACCTGTACACAGTAGATCAAATGCTATCATTTCTAGGCAGCATATTGCGCCTGGAAAACTGAAGTGTAATAGTTTGCACAGCTAACAGTTTCGAGTTGAAAATTACAGCTAGAGCGTCTTATTTCCTTTTTTGTTCCTTTTTTGCGGGCAATTCGCACACAAAGAAACCTGCTTCACGTCTAGGTTTTCGAGCGAGGATCTGCCTCTGAAGGAACGATTTTGTTGTCATGTAGTATTGTGCTGCACCACGAAAATGTTGCACTGTGTAGAAACTTGAGGAGGGCGCTGATGGGCAAGAGAGCAAGCCGCTAGCTAGGTCCGTACACTTGTGATAGTGCGTCTGATTTTGGACAACGAAACAATAAGCACTAACAACTCGACTGCGTCTGATTGTGGACAACGGAGCAGAAAGAACTAACAACTCAACGAAAGGTGAGACCACTGCAAAGTGTGATAAAACAATGTTAAATGCCGCGAGAGGAGGCAAAGCGGGCGAAAGAATTTCTCTAGATGTACTCGAACTGTTATCATGGAGGCGTGCAATGCAAACAAGTCTATTAGCGCTGTAAGGGCTGTATGCTCACAGATAACAATGCCAAGAGCGCTGGCCGCAAAGCTCAGTCTAGCGCTTGGTACAGCAGGGCGTTGATTCAAGAATTTTTCTTACCAGTTTCCATAGTAAACGAGTCTATTACTGCTGAAAGGCCTGTACCCTTGCATAGAAAAATGGCAAGAGCGCTGGCCTCAAAGCTCAATCCAGCGTTTGGTACAGCAGGCATTGATTTGAGAACCTCTTTTACAAGTGTCCAGTGTCGCTTTTGGGTACCCTTATCCGCAGTTCGACGTCAGAGTATCGTCGTTTCCCCACAAAGTTTCGTACTGTGCCTGAAGCGTCCGTTGCTGCGCGTAAACTCTGTGTCAACTCTTAGAAGCTTTATCGCGATTGCTCATTCAGCCGTGAAGCTGTAGAGTTTACTGGACGTCCACTGACCCCCAGTGGCACTTGCCTCATTGGGTGAAGGGCCTGAAGCTCATGGAATTCATTGTTCAGTTATGAACGCAGCCCACACGCCTCGCACCCCCGATGTACAGGACAAGGACAGTAGTAGGCGCGACTCATGTAGAGTCTGCTAGCCAATTCTTTCAAAGTAGCGGCAACAGAACTGACGCAGCTGTTGCTAACCCGGGCTATCAAGACATATTTGGCTGGGACGGCGTGTCGTCTCCTCCATCACCTCGGCTGGTAGTGCTTGGCAAACAAACTGTTAATAGTCACAGAAAGAATTGCGTATGGCGGCTTGAACAATGAACAGCTAGAAGCCAATAAGACCATGGGGTCTCTGAAATCTAATGACAGGGTTGCGACTTGTAAGACTCATGAGCAGTAGAAGCTCGCAGTAACAAGCTAGGGAGAGAAGAGCGATAGACCTGCACGCCTACTCCATGGATGCTAAATGAAGCACGAACCGTAAATGCCAATGACAGGGATCACCAAACAAACGCCTACGATAAGTATCGATGACCAGACTTGGTCTTCGTTGCTCGTCTGGAGGTGAGCTTGTAACCCTAATTCGTTTGCATATTTGGGTGCTGTATGGAGCACGAATCCTGTATGTAATTCAGCCCTCTAACTGGCTGCCAGGCAATGCATGCATTTACGTTAACTACTGAAAATTGTCAACGATGCGTCAGACCTCTCTCTCTGCGTATAAATGCACCGACAATTTCGCATAGAGATGATTCCGAATCAACAAAGTGCGACTTTGCCAACACCCAGTTACCTCTTAAGGCGCTACTGCCGAATCAGCAGCAACTGCTGTAACACTAGCAGCAGGGAATATGCGGCTGCGTCAATTCGCTGCAGCAGGAGACCTCGCGGCAGAGTCCGAACCAGCAGTAGGTGAGAATACGCCCACGGCATAATCAAGTCTCCACAGCGGCACAAGCTGCAAGTCCTGAAGCTTCAACAGCACTGCCAGGAACTACAGCAATAGCATCCGAATGCGGCTGCAGCAGACATCACGGCGGGCGTATCAGCCCGAGGCAAGCTGGCGAAAAATTTCCCGAAACCATAATGGCATATAAGAAAAACTTATGTATAAGCTCAGCTTTGCGTTCAGGATAACTTTCCCACCTTTGTGGCTGCTTCCAGCCGCCATCAGCATTGGGAAGCAGCCCACCGCAGATGCCAATGCTGTGTGGCTTTTCCAGTGTGCGGTGTTTTTCAGCTCGAGCTACATTTATACCATGTATGCCCCAAGTTTAGAATGCCATTGTGAGAAAATTCGAACGAGTGAGTTACTTATACCTTCGGTGGTTCAGCCTATCCTGCACACAGCGTGCCAGTGCCAGTCCCCATCTTTCCCGGGTGCCAACACTTCAACGCTCAGATGGTGCAAAATCCACCTCATCTTTTTGATTTAGTTATTTTAACACTTAGAACGTTGCAAGAGGCTGTCAATGTTCCCTTCCCGCCATTCCATTTTCTATTAGGGCAACAGCCACAATTCTGTAGACGGGGACGTTGGCTGCGTAACTACCTAACTGCTGCGTGGGAAATCAGTTAGAAACGACCCAGAGGTCGAAACAGATATATAAACCGTAGGAACTTAAATTTACATGTTTACAGATTCGGAGGCCGAATTTGTCTCAGTGAGTGAGGGACTGACGATTTTGGTCCTTTAGGCCGTGCAGGCGACAGGAGACAGACGAAAGGTGGAGCAGCAGGGGGTTGTCACTCTCCCCACTCCACAGTCCATGCCATGTCTCCAATGGGGTCTATGTTACAGCATGCTTTCATGCTGGCACTGCATGAGACATCTTTATGTGCTTTTTTGGGCCTACTTACCACAGTGCTTGCCTGTAACTGTGGTTTGATCGTTTTCCCACCTCCAATAGGTGTTAAAACGTGGCTCTTCTCCACCGCGGCTACTGGTCGGGCTTCACACTCATTGATGCAATTTTCATCCTTTTGTTCAAAATGAACAGCCATTTGCTTTTTGCCCTGTGCTTAGTGACTATTTGCGTCGCTGAAGCGGCGGTTGGCCCTCAGGAGCCCAGCGTAGGCGTGCTGCCCGAAGCCAGTGAAGTTCCAGTACAGGAGGGAGCACAGCTGAGCCAGCATGATGCTCCCGTGCCAGTCCCTTCTGGGAGACGCATAGCAGGACCGATTATGCTGCTGACGTTGTTTGCTGTTCTTCTGTCGGGATTTTTGGCGACTGTGGACTATAGGGAACTTCTTTCCAGCCTGAAACAAAAAGGAGCAGGAGCTCCAGAGGAGCCTGAAGTCACGGGAGAGCCTAAAGCACCAACCAGCGGAGACCCCAAAGCCCCTGAAGTAAGAGAAATTTACTTCCCAATCGTGATCCCCGCAGGAGCGGTGGGCTCGGCAAGCACGGGCAGTGCTCGTTGCGACGTTGCTTCTAGTGGAGGGCAGCAGTTGAGTGTCGGAGGAGGAAGTCCTGCACTGCACTTCTGTGACCGGCGCATGGCGCCTTCATGGTGGCGTTCATTCATTGCCTTGCTATATTAGTGCCACGCTTCTGCAGTTGCGCTGAAACATTGCCATCTGTCAAGCACGACTCAAACGGCCACTTGAGGCTATAATTCGTCCCGTCCACAATCATTACTTTGGCTTACTAGACGTGAAGCAATTCAGCTGGGACTCAACTAGTCTGGAGCGCCTTGATGGCTGCGAGTGGACTTTTTAACGACCTCCTCGGGAATCGATTTTCTGAGCTTTCATGTGGTCTCTTCACGTGTCTTTACTCGAAATAGTTTTAAGTGTGTTCAAGCTCGTGAAGGCTGCCCGTATCAGCTCATGTATTTCGCTTTGCCTGTTGGCATGCGGCACATGGAAACGTCCTCTCTGACGCTTTTTTACGAGCAAATGACAGTATGGCTACCGCGTACAAGCTCAGAAAGTGCGTTATATGCGCTTTATGATGCACAGTAGGATGGAATATTCGTCTTTCTAGCAAGGTAATCCACGCCATGTGGCCTGCAGGGTGCGACACTCCATGATTCAGCGGAACTGGAATGGCGTTTGTGGTGTGACACTGCGTTGGGCGTGCAGTTTTTCTGAACTAGCTGCATTTTTAGTTTGACTGCTTCCCGCGTTGCTGCTGTGCTTCGCGGAAACTTACCCTCCGGCGCTTATATACTGGCAAATGGTAGTATGGCTACCGCGAACATTCTCAGAGAGTGCGTTATATGCGCTTCATGATGCACAATAGAATGGAAATACTCATATCTCCAGCAAGATAATCCACGGCTCGTGGCCTGCAGGGTGCAAGACTCTATGCTTCAGCGAAGCTGGATTGACGTTTGAAGTGGGACGCTGCATTGCGCGGGCATTTTTTCTGATTCGGCTGCACCTTGAGTTTGACTGCTTCCCGGGTTGATGATGTGCGGCGCGGTCGGTAGATTCACTCCTAGTAGCATTCAGGGACAGCTTTTGTTGAAAGCTTTTGCCATGAAAGCCTCTTTGGTTTGCTTGCGGGGTTCAAGGTGATATTGGAAGTGCTAGTGTTGTCAACTGTACAGGCTGTGCGTTCAGTGCTCCACGACGTGTTTAGGCAGCGGACCCTCATTTCGAATACGTAATTCGACAGTCAGGTATTACCATGCCATGTCCCGCTTGCAGGTTCATTGTCAAGCAGCTTCGCATGGTACATGTTACTGGAAGCGTTTTTTGTTGACTGCCAAAAGCACACTCTACTCTGCCCATAAGACCTAGCAGCTGACGAGCTTCACAATCTGCAGGAAGTACGTCAGAGCTGCAGATGGTGTGGGTTGCTATGGCATTCAGCAGCATTTTTACGACCAGTGCACTTCCGGTACGCAGTGGTTCATGGCGACGGGACGTCTGGGCTCCCTCGCGAATGCATTGCGTTGCTTCCTCACAGGGCCTGTGGGAGAGGTCTTGCTGTTCAGAAAGAGCTAAGCAACCTGAACGAGTGCTGAGGCTCAGGATTGGCTGGCATGTCAATCAAAGTGGAGCCAGAATTGCCAAGCAGTGCTGGGCAGTGTTTGGTTTTCTGTGCGCACTCTACAGGGATTACATTCTTAGGAGTTAAGAATATCCGCATTACATTCGGCAGATAAACCCTCTGTGTCCTTGGGTAAGCGCTTGTTCATACGCAAAGAATTGCCTGCGATTCAAGCCTGTAAGTGTCATTCCATCGCTGAAGCCTACCGCCGTCTTGCTCGCACTGTGTCTGCAGCAGGATGCTTGCACCGTATGTTTATGACTGTTTTTCCCAGGCCGCTGTCGCTGTGCGGGGGAGGATAATTCTTGCGATGTTGCCCACTTTTCACCCATTATAAAGTTTCTTCTAGTGCACGCCGTAGCAGTGCCCAAATAGGCTGTGTCGGTGCCAGTAATTTGCGTTTGTGGGACTGACGAGAGCTACTGAGACTGAGCTGGTGAGCTGGTGAACTGCAACTCGGGCAACATCTTCAAATTGTAGCAAGTACGTGTTCCGTAAATAGCATATTTGGCGTTCTGTTGGTACACATAAACGTCTGGATGGTTGGATGCATGTTCTTGACGTCCCTGGCAGCGGTGTGCAATGCGAACTTCTCTCTGCACAGTGCTCTGCGTTTGAGGCGCTATGTGCGACGTCGCTACAAGCTTTTAGATAAGCAGCTTGGAAGTGGGGCACAAGTCTAGCCTTTACTTTGTTGATTGGCTTGCTATGCATATATCTTGCCCGTCGCCTAAGTTCGTTTTTGATTTCAGACTGGTTGTTTCAGTTTTAAACGAGGGAGCCGTATCACGTGCCTGCAAACAATTTGCTGCATTTTCTGTCTATTCAAGTTACCTGAAATCCTGTTGGAACTTTGGTTTCGGTATCTAAGGAAACGATCCTTCAGGCAGTGTGTTTCTTCTTGCCTAGGCAGGGCGCGACAGTTTTTCTGATAGATCAGCACATTACGGACTGTCACCAGTGGCTTCCCTGTGCCTCATCCAGTCGTGCAATGAAAATTGTAAAGGGGCCTTTTTCTGCTAATGGCGTAACAGTACTCTGACATGTTCTCAGTCTGGCTCCTCAGCGGCACCATCCGCAAGAGGTGGAATTGCACACAAGAGAAGCGACGGTGGAGCTCCATCATGGATAGTTGCACACTGCTGACTATGTGGATTTTCTGTGTTGGTATCGAGCTGACTATTTTAGTAGCCAGTGAGGGTTGTGGAGCTGCTGCGGGCCAGTGGCTGACCTGTCAGTTATACAACGGTCCTTCCGTGAGGAGACTATTAGACGATGCTGTATCAGGAGTGAAGTCTTGTGTCGCCGCATTGCTGGAAGGCTTTGAGCTCATACAACATACCGTCCATTTAGGTGTCTCCGTGTTCTCGAAGGAGACAGGGACAGGGACACGCTGATCTTGACGCAGATGATATCTTTTGTTTTGACTTGTTTGGCGGAATTTCGACAGCATTTGCATGGTAAAGATGCCGATGCATTGGCAGCATTCTTTTTCTGTTGAAAAACAATGTGGCAGCGCAAAGCGCTACTGGATGCGACGGAACAGAACTAATGTGGAGCAAAACGTCTTCACATGGGCATTCCAAGGCATCAACTGGGCACAACTATGCAAAATTGAAAGTGAAACTCAGGCATTTGAGCATGCATTACTGGTAGTGCACTGCCTTGCGCGCTGCCAGAAACGCACAGACCGGGGTGCAGATTTGTGCTTGCAGTTGTAAGCTGGCAGTGGTGCTTTACCGTTATTTGGGACAAAAGTGCACGTGCCAACGATCAGCCATATTGTCCACCGTTCCCACTGCAGGCAAATTTCTACTTTGTTTGTTTGCATTTTTTAAATCCAGCATGGCAAGTCCAAGTGAGGGTGCAGGCAACGCGCACCATCTGTGGCACGGTGCGCACATTCTTAAGTAATGGTATTCCATAGGAAGGATCGTACGGCGTTAACCAGCAAATACTTACGTGCTGAACGGTTTCGCTTCATTTTTGTCTCATAGACGTCTAACAATTTCATGCAGTAAGTATGTCCATCCTATCGAGTCTGTGTCATGCGGATCATCTTAATCTGAGCACCGTTCATGGCACATCATCAATCCTTTCCAAAGAAACTTTTGGAGCCTTTCCTGATTTTTGGACTCCCAAAACCCAGTTCAGCTAAATTTGTTTTGTAGCAGCATCAGGGACACCGCGAACCGTGATCCAAATGGCCTGATTCCACAAAGTTAGCCCAAACGCAGCTCCAGCCTTTTGCTATTGCCTCACGTAGAATTCTGACACCTGAGTCTAGTTTCCAAGTTCTGACTATCGCATGCTAAATGTGGCGATGAGGTTGGCTGAGGACAAATTCTGCATAGCAAGCAAGCACCGAATAAAGCACGTGAAGCGCTCAGCGATGCCCACAAGGGGTATGAGACCCATTTACATTATGAGGGCCATTTACATACCCTTAATGTTGGAAGTGAAACGTAGCTTCCTGAGACTATACGGGAGATGCTGACACCTTCACCTGGAGTACCTTAGAAATGGTTACAGCAAACACAAGGGGGGGCGTCCTATCGCCTTTCACCGTCAAGAATGAAACGTGCGCTTTTGGGTATGCTCTGGTCAAAGCGTTGACTGTGTAAATGTGCATTCCACGATTCGTCAGATACGAGGTGCCCAGCGCCTCCACAACTTCGAACGCTTGCAGAGACCAAGGAGTTATTTCAACAACAAACTCTTAAATGGATCTTATGTTTGGTAGAATAGTTACTGGTTTTCTGGAATATCTGCTTAATAGAAAAATATGCGGAATTGCACAAGTTACAGGACTGCGGACTGAACTGGCGGAAATGCTAGCGCTTCTCAGCCGGACCACCGGCTGGAGAGACGAACAGTTTAAAGATAAACGCAGCTGGTTTCTGTGAATCAAGAATTCAGCGTTCTGAATTCTTTTTCCCCGACTCCTTTGCCACAGAGACCACCGATGCTCTCATGTCCTTACCGCTGGGCGGTATTGTGCAAGGAGCTTGGAGGAGTCATCGTCTCTTCAGACAAGATATTACGGGCCTTTTCCTCGGATACGCCCTTGGTTCACTGCCTTCCACTGCCTAGTTTACTTTGTTTGCTTTCTCGGTAGGAGGGTGCCAACGCTTCGCAGCCCACGCGGAGAAGCTCGCTGCCAATTAGTTCACTAGGTAGCCAACAAGCTGGCTACTTGGTTTTAGTGCTGCTTTGCACCATTTCTCATCGTGCATGATACGGATCTGGCATACCAGTAAAGAAGACTGAAGCTGCTTGAATGGAGGGACAGGCTGTCGAGCCAGTTGCTTGTGAGGTGACCCACGTTGGTGGTACTCGCATTTTCAGTGCTTATGCAGTAGTCGGTGTCTGCCTCGACTGGTTATGCTATTTTTCACTTTCTGCTGCTGGTACGTCAGCTTTTTTTGTCCCTGATAAGCATCTACAGGTTCACATGTTCACGGGTTCACAGGTGAACACGACTCATCCCAAATGCAGCGAGGAAAAGTCTTCTTGAACCATGGGAGAATGGATGATAATCAAGTTAGCTGCAGAAGATTTCAGCTTGGAGACCATCTTCGCGCACGGGTCAAAAGTTTGTGTTTGGCCAGCAACAGGTTGACGCAGATGCGGCAACTTGTTAGCTGTGGTCTGGAGAGCCCACATTAAGTATCAGAAAGCACAAAGAAGATTTTAAGAAGTACTTGTTCGTCAGCTCGTGCAGAATTAGCGGTGCAGATGGATGTCCCGGACGTCCCTAGGTCTCTCAAAGAACTCCATTTCGGCGCCGAGAAGGAGAAGACGTGCTCAGTTGCGTGCTCATGTGCTATTTGTTTTCCCCGAGAAACACCTCGCGCCTTACATCAAAAACTGCAGAGCTGCAGCCATACGCAGTGTTAATGAGCCGTTGGAGCAATGCTGCTCCTGTTTCGTTTTTGAAACACAGCAGTTTCTGTACACTAATTGGGTATTCAGACGTAAAGATAAAAGGAGTTCAATTTATTTTTCCTTCTTTATATACGGATTTGGTTGTCTAGCGAATCGGGCAAGAAATAATTCAAGCGAGGTTGAGTATCCCACGTGCATGCGGAAACCGATGGTCACCTTGCGAGGCGTATTCTTCAAAACAGATTGCGCAAGGGCAGTTGAGCTTCGTTATTTCGACTTTCTACTAGCTATAATGTAATCAAATGTGTGAGAAGAAATTTCCCCCCAAGTTACAGTAAGGGTAGGCCATCTACCTAGAACACTTCATTTCCACTTCGATTGTGGTACACCAGGATCCCTAACCATACAGTTGCCAACATCTCTAGACTAGTAAAATTTAGTGGTACAAAACGCCCGCTTAACTGCTCAGGCAGTACTTTTGGTTTTGTTGCCATTTCGACTTTGCGGAGTGTCGCTTCCATTGTCACCTTTTGCCCTACGAGTCTTCTTTGGGGCCCTGTCCCACTAGCAAGGGGCCCCACGCCATCAGGCACCTTCAGCAACAGTAGACGTCTAGGTATGAAAACCTCAAGAATGAGCAGAAGAAAGGTTTTTCCTGTGCATTTGTGAAGATGCGCTCCAGCTGTAGCTATAACGACAGCAGCAGTTGTTGCAACCACGAGGCATGGTGAAGACACAACGCCAAAATGCTGGCGTTTCGTGCCCGCAGCGGCTTCTGCAGCCGCAGCAACATTACAGTTAGAAAGCAGCAGTGCACATTGCCTGGCGCTAGTTATCAGCGAAGCAGTGCCAGCTCTGTTCCTGCTCCTGGGGACACCCAGCAACAGCTCCAGCATCAGCAGCACCACCAGCAGCAACAGCCGCTGCGGCGGAGTGGCCACAGGATACCTTCCGTTTCAACCGAATCCGTTGAAAGTGCAGTAGGCCAGTTTATCATGGCCTGTCAAAGGTTCCAGCGCCAACAGCTGCAACAGCGATGGCAACAGCAGCTGCAGCAGCAGGTCGGCGGGGCAGCGGGGACTGCGTCGTCGCTCGCGATAATAAAGGAAACATTATCTGTTGCACCTGCTGCATGTATGAATGCAGCTCTGCTAGCGATGCAGCAGCAGTTGCTACCGTTGTCCTTGGTGGTGCCTCTGGCTGAGGCTTTTTATGCTGCAGCAGAGAAGCAGATTGAGCAGCAGGCGCAGCAGCAGCTTTCTTTTAAGCAAGGATACCAGCAAGAGCAGAAATCGCGCGAGCAAAAACGGAATAATGAGGACAACAGAGCAACAGAGATGCTGTTGGACTTAGCCTTGCTACTCGAGCCAAACACTTTCATTGTAGGGGGGATCCAGCAGCAGTATCAGATTAAGCAGCAACTGTTGCTGCTGCCGCAACAAGCGCAGAAGAAGCGACAGCTGGCCCTGCAGACTGCAGTGCTCGTGCTGAGGCCGTTGCTGCAGCAGCAGCCTCTGCTGCTGCGGGATTCTCAGCTGGCAAAAGCCTTGCTGAAAGCCTCTGACGAATCGCTGCAGCAACTGCTGCAACAGACGACAGCACAGCGCCTCAGATCCTGCAAAGAAACCCGAAACAATGGCTGCAGCAGCAGCAGTGCTCAAGTTGCGCTCACTGCGGCGCTGCTGCGTTCCTGTGCTGCCTTCCCCCCTTTAGAGGAGGTGTACGACGCAGCAGCAGATTTTCTCCTTCATGCGGCTGCTGCGGCGAAGCACCCTTTGAGCAGTGAGCCATCTTTGAAAATGCAGCAGGGCCAGCTTGCTGCTTGGTGCGATGTGGCTGCTGCCTTGTGTTTGAAGCAACAGCAGCAGCAGGTATTTTGGCGATTGTTTCCCAGCGTAGAGTCAGCTGTCTGCACCGCCTTATCCAAACTGCTGCAGCATCAGCAACATGAAAATAAAAAACACTCGTTAGTGGCTTCGATTGACCAACTGGAACCAGCAGCAGCAGCGCTGCTGCTGCTTCGTGAGCGACAAGTCTGTTTAATGAATGCAGACACACCAACAGGAGCAGCAACTTCCAAGTCGGAAACAGACGCAAGCAGTGATTTGGCTGCTGAAGAAGCTGCAGAGCCGGCGGCTGAACTTCTTTCTAGGTCTACAGTGGGACTAGGACAGCAGAAACAGCAGCAAGAATCACATCAGCTAGATGACGGCGAAACCCCTGCTGCTACAGCAATGCTACAGCAAACTTTTTTTGAAATCTGGCATGAAGTAGAGGCGCAGCAAAAACGGCAGCAGCACCAGACACATTCGGAAAATCCTGATTGTGAGCTGCCTCGTCCAGCGCCATCATCTCCTTTCAATTTTCGCTCAAAAGCGGCGAACGACGCAGCAAAAGCGGGACTAAAGGCAGCAGCCGGAGCAGCATCTCCGGGAAGGGCGGCAGGCTCAGAGGTTAGAAGAACGACTGACTCAGAAGCAGCGCTACTGAGGCTGCTGCACCAGCTGCTGCTGCTTGCTGGCGTTCAGGAACAGCAGCAGTTAAGTAAGTTTTTGCAGAAAGTCGCTCGAGAAGTACTGCCTGCGTGCGATCTGCAGCAGCTAGTATTGCTCCTGCAGCACGTGGTGCGGCTCGTGGAGATGCCTCACATGCAGGGGCAACAGCAGCGATTGCAGCCGGCTGTTAACCTGGGCATGTTTGTTGATGCTACGCTACTGGCAGTGGATCGGAGAATTAAACAGCACGAGCACTGCAATGCCAGCCTCAGCAGCAACGGCAGATTGTCTACTCTGGCGTCTCTCGCCGACGCTCTCTGCTCTAGCTCCCTCAGAAAACAAGTCCGGCTTGCTTCTGCTGCTTTTGCTGCGGCAAAGGCACTTCTCGACGACCTTCTGCTCGAAATACAGCTTACGCAGCGTGAGCAGCAGAATATAGACCAGCGTGTGGCTTTGCAGGAAGCTATCGTGTATACAACTTTCAGGGCAGTTTCTGCCGCCTTATCCGTAAGCCAATCTGTGTGGGCCCGCAACATCTCCTGTTGCGATGATTGCCTTGCATTTCCTGCTGTTGCTGTTGCTGGCGCAGCTGTCACGCAGGTGACAAAAACTGCAGTCCACTCCTTGCCAACTGCAGTCCACTCCTTGCCAAAGAGACTGCTGAAGGGTGACTTTTTGGTTAAACTGTGTTGCTGGTACTGCTGGCGCTATTGTGCTGCTGCAGCTTAACGAAAGCAACGCCAGTTCAGAGGCGAAAACACGACCGGGTGCAAGTGACACAGACGCAGCAGCAGCAACTATGAACTCGTTTAACTGCTATCCGGAGCTCCTGAGGGTCCTCAGCGAGACAATTTTAATGCTTCAGGGTACCGCGCACGCTATCTTGTCTGGATCCGCTGCTCCAGCATCAGAATTGAACTATTCACAGCAACAGGCATGCTCCCAGGAGGACGCACCGGCGATAGAGAAGAGGCACTCTGATAGTTTGGTCCTTGCCGTTGCAATACTCGCGCGGTGCCTGCAAGATCCCGCCTTGAGCAACCAGCAGGTGCTGCAATTCTGCAACCGTGCCGGTGGTGCTGTTGATGTTGCAGTCCCGCTGCACTGCGCTGCATATTTCACGAATCGTGCCCTTTGCCACCTCTTGGTGTCAACAAGAACAAGAGTTTCTGGCACAGCAGCTTTGGCAGGTGCTGCTGCACTTTCCGTTGTTGTTGGTGACGGTGTAACCTCAGCTGTTATCTTGTCGTTGCAGACAGCTCAACAGTTTTCGTTGTTGGTACTGTATGCTTCAGGCTCGTTGGGGCTTTTATGCTCTTCTTGCAAGCCTGTATGAGTCTTCAACCGCCTTCTTCATTCGCCGAAGCGACGAGAAGACGACAGCGAACGTAGTAGCGGCTCTAAGTGCGGAGCAGGTCAGGTTGTAACCGCAGCAGCTGCACCTGCTACTCTCCTCACAGCCGGCATTGTCTTTGCTCAATTCGCCCAATCGTTTCCGGGCACTCGGAGAAATTCGTACTACTGCGTGACAAAAACAAGTTTATGATGCAGCGTGCTATACAGCAGCCAAAAGTGGTAGTGCTCCCGCTGCGTGCGCTATGCTCTTGCTGCTACTTGGGACAATATAGCTTGCTGCTTGTGTTTTGCAGGTGCTAGTCTTGTTGCAATGTCATCTGTTCCTTTTGGAGGCTTCAACGCAACAGCTGAGGCTGACCAATGCAGCGAGAGCAGTAGCTTCCAGTGTTGGCGGCAGCAATCCACAGGCAGCAACAGCTGCTGCTGAGGCCGCCGCAGCAGCAACCAGCTCTTCAGAGGCGCAGCAGCTGCTTATTGACATTTATAGGGGGCTTCGCTCCTGCAGTCTGAAGACTGAGTCTCTGAAAGGTATTTTTCGGGCTGCGCTTGCGGATCCCTGGCCCTTTCCAATTTTCCGTTTTACCAAAGGGAGAACCCCTTTCCATGCTTCCTGTCCATCTTTTTGCTTGCCAGAAAGACGTTATGCTTATTTGTTCATCTCCATACCTTTATAAGCATGAGCTTGCCTCATGTTGTCGTCTCCCTCGTGTGTGGGAAGGAGACTTGCCGGGCATTGTTTGCGGCTTCCTTCTCCGCTGTTGTCCTTCGAATGCGTGTTGCTTCCACTTCTGAGACCTTAGCTAAGATGAACGGTCGCAAGCAACTAACGACAACAGTTCCACCTGCAGCTACTGTTTCTGTTGCAGCCTCACATTTTATTAATTCCTTATTCCTATTGCACTAAACTAATTCCGCTTTCCCCTCTTGCTTTGCTGTTTGCAGTTGTTGGCGGTGCCATGCAACTATTCAGCAAAATTCAAACCCTTACGAGTCATGGTCAGTTTCTCATGCGCAGATGTATCAGCATAATGAGCATCGGCAAGAAGCAGATGTAGCTGCAGGCTGCTAGGTGCCGTCGCCATCACAGGGTGGCAACTGTCGAGGGCGCTGCTGCTGCTGTCTCCCGTGCTGTTGCTACTTCCACTGCTACAGCAGCTTTCGTAGTTGTCATTCGTATGGCTTTCTACTGAACTTGCAAAGCAGCACAAGTCATAGAGGCAACATGTTTTTTGTGCTTGCAACACTTGTGCAATACGTATCGTGTTTGGCGGGTTTTATGCAGGGCCACTGGACGTCGCCTCTGCGGCTGCTGCACAGCAGCAACAGCAGCAACCGACGGGTTTTACGGAGCGGATTGTTGGTTGGTTTCGCTCCAGATATACCCGTTGAAAGCAAAACTTGCTTTAGAACCCTATGAGAAATAAGGTTCCTGGCGGATGTGCTGTTTTGCTACTGGTACTGCATGTGGCAGTTTTGTGTCGCATTTCACAAAACGCTCCATATATTTTGATAGAGATGGGCTTTTGCTGAAGAACTATACAGGACGAGATTAGTAGAGCAGCGAGCGAGGAACAACCACACACGTGACAAGGTGACAGGGGAGATATGCTGCAATGGGTGAGTGGGGTGACAGTGCATCCACCGTTGCAGAAGTGAGGAATAATAGATGGGGATCAGGTGGACGACGGAGAGCGAGTGATAAAAAGGTAGAGAAGGACAGGCAGGCTGAAAAGTGTTTAGGCAAGTAGTTGGGAAAGAAAGATATTTGACTTACGGAGAACGCAATATCACAGGGAAAAAGAGATATGAACGTGAGCAAGCAAGCACACAGAACAGCCGGGCATAGAGAAGACGGCAGAGCCAACTTGACAGAAAGCGCCGCCGGAGCTGTGGTCCAGCCTTAAGGGAGTATTTTAGCTCTAATTGCCTTTTGTGCGCGCGCATCAGAACGGCGTCTCAGTCGCGTCTCAACGAAGAATTATTCCTGCACTGAAGGTATCTTGCGTTCTCCAACTTGTGGGCCTTCTTGTTGCTCCGAAGAGTCCTTCAGGTTGTATCTTGTTGAAGCTAATCAATCTGGAGACAGCACTGCGAAGATCGCTTCCCACACACTGAATTGCATCTATGTTGAATACTGTGCGCGTCATAGAGGCACTTTGTTGATAGACGTGTGTTTGAACCATCCGATGATGTGCATGCTTTTCCTTATTAGTATCCCTTGTACCGCAAAATCTTTCTTGGTCGTTTAGTGCAGACAACCCTTCTTCTCTTTATATTTGCTCTTCGGCGTCTATTACACCATTTCACCTGTAACTGGATTGGTGGCTAGCTAGCTACTTAGCTAGCTGTGCTCAGACGCTTCTTTTCTATCCTATATATTCTATATATTGAGCGTAAGTGCACTTACCTTAACTTTGAGCTGTGGCAAACTGAGTGCGACGGCTCTCCAGAGTCAGCTACATGCACAGGCTTACAATTGGTAGCTTTATTTTCACCTGTTGATGGCAACGCCTGCCTCATGCCAGCCACTCGTTCCAGTCGATTCGAGATTGCTGTGCAACTGTCAACCTTCAGCTCTATGGCTTTCAGAAGTGGGAAGTTTTCGAAAAACCCATACGGTGAGAGCCTTGAAAAACTCTCTCTTCTCCAGTCTATTGGCTATTTGTAGGAAAGCGCACTTCATAACACGCTCCAGCTCGTGGGATAGCATCGGGGCCTTGTGCCAGGGAAGCTCAAGCCTAACGAAGCTCTCTACTTCAAGCCCATCAACTTGAGGTGCAAGTCTGAAAGCGGACTGTTTGATGCTTTCATGACCTACCTATGCGTATCGGCTTCTGTACTTAAACTCTTAGTGCACATTGGCGGAGTCGTTTCGGTGTATGTCTGACACAGCCTCAGCCCTGCTGCGGGGTGCACATAAAGCCTACGCGAAATTCTGCAGCATACTTGGTGCTGCGCCCCAGAAGCGCTCTTCTTTGTTAAGGATTTCTGCAAACTGGGATGGACTGGAGAGTACCCAAAAAGGCTGCTAACATCGCTTTTGGTAGGTGGAAATAGAGCGTGAAGACACAGATTCAGGCTGTCACACGAGCATTTGGATGCGTCTCGCAGCACAGTCAGAAATAAAGGCTCATAGCTACAGCGTGTCCCCGCATGAGTTTGAAGATTGTTGCGCTTCTGGGAGCAAAGATTCAAAACATGTCTCCATGAATGGGTGTTTCCTCAGTGACTGGACAAGGCACACTGAAATGAATACACCTTGCACGTGTGGTCACTAGGACTCCCATTTACCACACTCAGGCTTGGCACATTAGGTGCCTCTGCATAGCTAATTTTTTGTGTCTGCACGGCATTTACCTTCCCTCTCCAAATCTTTTGAGCTAAATGCATTCTCGCACTAGCGTGCACGTGTTCGCATAGTTTGCACTGTGCCTTATAATTATACTACTTGCGGGAGTAGATCCCGTTTCCGGTATGTACGAGCATGTGAGACCTTGTTGGGAAGCTCGCTGTGTTCGCTCGTATCTCTACAATTACTCTGCGAAAATCACTTGCTCGAAATGTGCAATTTGTTTCAAGTAACTGCTGAATACAAACCTTTCTAGCTAAGATGTGTCTGCAGTTAACTAGCAAACTAGCTCACTAGGAGAAAAACAAGCCACAGCTGGCCCGCTACGCAAGCGCAGAACCCTCTTAGCCGGTGATACGCACTCTCAGCAAAGCCTTAAAGTGATAGTGCTAGATACTACACAGCATGCACCTAAGTAAGGACGAAAAAATTAGCGGCGAATGACAAATAGGTTTTTCTTTCTGCTTGTATCCCCATCTCTCCACCTCTCCCTATCTCCTAACGTTAAGCGATCGTTAAACAACAATCCCAATCGTGCATGGTAATACTAGCTTCCCCTTTTAAGCTTCTGTTCAGGTCTCATCTGTCCTGTTTTCTCCTTTGCCTGTCTTTTTGACAATGTCTTCGCGTTCCTGGCTGCTCCCCTATTTTTGTCTTTGGCTGGGCTTCTGTTTCTTTCTCGATCGCTCTCTTTTCTTCTGTTGCTGCTTCCAGAGATGCAGTAGCGCATTATCTGCTTTTCTTTATATGTGCTTTAGAATAAGGCAGATTGTTCACGCATTGACACTTCTTCACTTTCTGCGCACCTTGAAGGCTCTCTACATATATCCCCTGGCTCCTGCAGCTGCTGCTGTTGCTGCAGCTGCTGTAGCAGCATTCTTCGCTCCGCCTGCAGCCTTTCATTCCACAAACCTTGCAACTCCCCCTACACGCAACATAGCAGTTTTAAATATCCATGAATTCATGGTGCACTTAGCCGCAAAAGTGTTCACCCAAGCAGCAAGAGCTCAGCCTTATGAACCTCCAGTCATCACGGCTTGACCACATATTACAGAGCCTCGGCTGATATTGCTGTCTGCTGCTAACCCCACTAAGTGTTTCTTCTAGCGGAAGCTCCCCTCGTCCTCTCTTTGCTTTTCGCATCCTATACAGCTGGGCCACCACGGCCACTACGATTGTCAGTATCATGCTGCGCAGCAAAAACAGTAGCAGAAAGCTCAAACGACACTTAAGAATGTCGAATATTTTAGTAGGCAGATGAATACTGAAAGGGTGGAAAGACAAAGACAGAAACACAACCAATCACATGAGAGAAAAAATTCAGTGACGTTTGAAACAGGGACGGAGGGCAACGGGAAAGGTGGCAGGAGAACGAGGGAGAAAACGGCGAATGCGAAATTTGATTGTAAAATAGGCAGTCACAAGCAGAGGAATGAGGAGGCAGAGGAGAAGGGAAACAGAAATACACATACGAAAAGTACACAAATGAGTGTCAGAGCGCGACAGGCACCACAGGCATCGAGCGCAAAGCCACAATAGGACAGGAAAAACTAAACACAGAAAGCGAAACGCAAACAAGTGAAACGGAACAAAGTTTACGGCAACAAAGTTTAGAGCTCACATAGGAAGGCGCAGATGCGACCATGACTCTTCAGACAAAGCTGGAGGATCATGATGCAGACACTCGAAAATTCTGACAAACTGCCCTTCTGCACGCCCCGCATACACCCTTCAATCCTAAAGATAAAAACTGAATACCACTTCAATAAGAACTTAATGAAGGCACCGGCCACTTGTAAAGTCATTCACTGGCGCACACCAGCAAAGACATCCCTGAACTCAAACTTAGAGCTGCGGTATATTTCTCCTGTTCTTTTCAATGTGTCTCCCCCATTATTCTATTCCCGCTGTCCATTCAATTGTGATTTCCTCTAGTGAAAAAGTGTCACAGGTCGACCGTCTGGTGTTCAAGTTCAGGAATTACGTTTCAGTATTTAGGTTTCGCGGCTACGGGATCAGTTGCTTCTCCTTACCTGAATCGCCGAAAGCCAAGACGCTGGTGTCTCCAGTTCGCCTCAGCAGCGCAAAGGAGGTAATCTATAAATAAAGAACCCAAAGCTCAGTGATTTGACGATGCTTTTGCGAAAATTCAACAAACTGTGCTTGAAGAGTAGATGAACAAACATCATCCTTTAGTAGCATGCACCAACTTGCACACGCCAGCACGCACACATTTAGCAATCACTTTCAAATATCCATACACATGAATACTTTTTTCTTGAATTGAACAGAGTGAGTGCAAATTGACATCGGTAGAGGCCCAACATTTTGGTGTATTTGCCTCGTAAAACTTTTAGTGGTTCCAGTCAAAACAGCATATGACCAGAAAAAGACATATCCAAGGTGCAACAAATCATATCAACAACCCCCCTTGCTGCCGCTGGTGCTGCAGGAGTGACAGCAGCATTCAACACAGAAACAGCACTATTGGCAGCCGTACTGGAGCACCAGCACCAAACTCAGTTGCTGCAGGGGCAGCAGCAGCAGCAGCTGCAGTGGTACCAGCCCCAAACGAAAAGAAATCAACTGCTAGGGCCGTTCTTGCCTGACCTTCTCCATAGACAGAAAGTACACTGCAGGCCCTCGAACAGCGTCTGGACGGTCCACCGCGCCAACGTTATAGACTGCCACACCTCTCTGCAGCAGCAGCAAATGAAACAGCAGAATGCTGCATACCTGAAACTGTGCATGCCAGCTCATTTGAAGCCCATAATAGCCTTTTCGAAACCATGCACCTCTCTCGTTTTCTGTTTTTCCCTGTTTGCTGCTTGTCACTTTTCGAGCTTCACTTCACCTGATGCGGGGCCGTTGCTGCTGCAGCAGAGAAACTGCTGGATACAGGGCTGGCAAGCAATTTTTCCTTGGCAAAAATCAGTTTAGAAGGGCCCGTTAGTAGGCGAGGAAGCTTGTGCAGCACTGCGGCAGCAACAGAGGACTTGAATGCAGAGGCTGAAGTGCGGCTATTTAAAATAAGCGAGCA